TTTTTTTTAGTTCTCGGCGGACACAACATCTTTGTTGGTATGTGTAGCTGAGGATCGAACCCGGGCCGCACGCATGCCAGACTAGCGCGCTGCTGCTTGAGCCACATCCCCAACCCCACTTTTTGTCAAAATGATAAAGTAGGGCTATTGTGGCTCAGCAGTAGAGCACTCGCCTAGCACATGCAAGGCCCTGGGTTCGATCCTCAGCACCACATAAAAATAAATAAATAAAGATATTGTGTCCAACTAAAAAATAAATATTTTTTTAAAAAATGATAAAGTAATCATGATGAAGGATATTATGGTGGGAACTATACATCCAACACATATATATCCAACCTGAAATATCCCTGAAGGTTTGAAATGGAGCCACAGGTAGATTGACACCTCAGTAGGCTCAGCATGCTGCACATCATGGTTGACATTACTTACACAGGGCAGCACTGTCATGGGATCTGGACTGACACGCTGCCCAGACTCTGCTTCAGTGCTGGCTGAATCAATGCATGCCCAGAAATTGTGCTGAGAAGATGAGCAAAGACTTAAAGAACCTCCCAGTTCTCTCCTGCTGTTCTGAAAGTGTAAACAAAGCTTGGTTCTCATGGAATCCCACAATTTGGTATTTGTGCCCATCAAGAGGGGTGGGGACAGTGTGTAGAGGGCAGGATCTATGGACAGAGACAGTGGACAGAAAGACCGGACATGGGAGCTGGGGTTGTGGTTCAGCAGTAGAGCGCTCGCCTAGCACGTGCGAGGTACTGGGTTCGATCCTCAGCACCTCATAAAAAAATAAAAACAAAAATAAAGGTATTGTGTCTAACTACAACTAAAAAATTAAAAAAAAAAAAAAAAAAAAGACCAGACATGAGCAAGAAGGGCAGTGGCTGGGAGGGTGCCTGTGGTCCCTCTGAGTCACTGGTGTCCAGGCCTTTCCCGCGGGCTACTGAGAGAGAGTGAGTGGGCCAACAGGCACGACTCAGTCCACACCTTCGTGTCACACCCTGGGCTAGCCATGATCCCAGTGGCTCAGGAGACAGGCAGGAGAATCATGTATTCAAAGCCAGCCTCACCACACTAGCAAGACCTCGTCTCTAAATAAAATGTAAAAACGGGCTGGGGATGTGGCTCAAGCAGTAGTGCGCTCACTTGGCATGCGCGGGGCGCTAGGTTCGATCCTCAACACCACATAAAAAATTAAAAATAAAGATTGTGTCCATCTAAAACTAAAAAATAAAATATTTAAAATAAATGTAAAAAAGGACTGGGATGTGGCTCAGTGGTTAAGCACCCCTGGGTTCAACCCCCAGTACCCTCCCCCCAAAAAAGATTCATTCACACATTTACCTAGCACATTGATGAATGTGTATACTGGCACTGTGCCAAGTATCCAAGAGCTCAAAGAGCAATACCATCAGGTCTGTGCCTGCAGAGCTTACGTTCTAGAGAGGGCAGACGAATGAGTGAACATGACCACAGACAGGCTCACTGCCACGAGAGGGACAGAAGGGTGTTGAAACAGGACAGCTAGGTCTACGGAGGCCCAAAGGGCGAGGGGGAACCATGAGCAGCTCTCAGGCAGGGGAGTCTGGTGTACTCAAGGAAGGGGATGAGGAAGGGGAGAGTGTAGGTGGGACGGGAATCAGGGGATAGAAGCGGACAGGAGCACCTTGCAGAGGGCTGGGCTTGGGGAAAACCTGGGTTGAAGAATTGAGTGCCAAGTCCTAGCTGGGCATGCCTGTAATGCCAGTTACTTGGGAGTGAGCCCAAGACCATTTTGGGCAACTTGGTGAGAACCTGTCTCAAAAAATAAGAAAGGGCCAGGCGCGGTGGCACACACCTGTAATCCCAGTGGCTCAGGAGGCCGAGGCAGGAAGATCGCAAGTTCAAAGCCAGTCTCTGCAACTTAGCGAGAGCCTGTCTCAAAATAAAAATTTTATTTTTTTAAAAAGGGGCTAGGAATGTGGCTCAGTAGTTGAGTGCCCCTGGGTTTAATCCCTGGTACCAAAAATAAAGCAAAAACAAAAACAAAAACTCACTGTACTAGACAAGCTCACCCAGGCACAAAAGAGGAGGAACAGTGCTAGGACTGAGAACTCCCAACATTTAGGGCAATGGCTTCCAAACTGACTGCCCCCGCAGTGCAAAAGGCCTCTACACATCAACCTCCACACACACCAGATGTTACACACAGCAACACACCCTCACAACATGGCAAGCTTCCTAATATTCTCTACTCTATTTCATTTCAAAAAGCCAAGAAGCCAGGCACGGTGCTGTAACACCTTAGAGACCCAGCTACGTGGTAGGCTGAGGCAGGAGGATCACTTGAGCCACCAGCCACTCCATCCACTGATTTAAATTTGGGTAGCAGGAAGAGGAATGAGGCAGGGGGTGCTGGCAAAGGAGGTGAGACACCTGCCATCATGGAGGAGGGGGTGGCGCTCTGTGTCAAATGGTACTAAGGGTCAAACAGGAAGAGAGGAAAGAGGACACTGGATCTAGAAGTTGAGAGTGATGATGTCAGAAGGGGTGACTAGGAGTGAGGAGGGAGTTGAAGGGGGACAGAAGCAAGGGGTTTAAACTGGAGAAGACATCACCAAAGTTCTGTATGACTTCATTCCAAGCAAGAGGAAGCAGGGGGTCAAGACTGAGGGGACATTCTCCACAATAACTGACGGGCATTCTTCACAAGTATCAAGACTGTAAATAAGTAAGAAGAACTGGTATAGGCTGAAAAAGACCAAGCAGAAACTATCGAATGCAACGTTGGGATTCTGACTAAACCCTGGACTAGAACAAAAGAAACATCAGGGAAAAATCTTCTGAAATTCCAATAAGGTCTGCGTTTGGTTAGTACTACTGCAGCAGACTCAAGGACCTGGTTTCGATCACCACACTGCGGCTGTGTAAAATGAGAACCTCGAGGAAGGCAGGGAAGGGGTGCCTGAGAACTCTCTGTACTATGTTTATTATTTGTTCCAAATCTCTTTTCTGAAAAAGGAGACTGGGAAGTAAGAAAGTAGAGACAACAGATTTTGTCTCAAGAAAACCTGCTGGGGGCTGCATTCCCAGGGCTCTGGCTTCCACCCTTCAGGACTAAAACAGCAACATAAACCCCACCCAATAAAAATAAATAAAATTCAAACTATAGTTTTTTAAAAAGGAAAGAGAAATCTTGTCAGGAACAAGAGCATAAATGGTGGGAACAGGGCTGGTGGGAGCAGGCAGGGCACTACCGCCGACAGCCCTGTTACCAGGCAGTGAAGGGGACAGTGAATGGGGAAGTCAGGGCCAAATAAGAAAGGAGGTCAAGTTTGGGGCACAAACACCCTTTAGTAGCAACAGTCAGTGAAAAGTGCCAATGCAGAGGGCTTGTGGTGGACAGATGAGGGACAAGAGATTGGCAGTCATCAAAGAACCAGGTTCTACTTTCTGAAACAGGGAGGTCCAAAGGACCCAGCTCTGGAACAGACCTCCCAGATACAGAAGCAGAGCCTAACCTCCTGGAGACCCTAAGCAGGTCCCAGGCAGTGGTGCACCCCTGAGGTTGGGCACCAGGGCCCTGGAACCAGACCACCCTCCCAACTGTGTAGCTCTTCTCTAGCAGCCCTGGCTGCCTGGACACTGCACAGAGAAGGAGTGGCAGTAGCTGGGCTCAGCAGGGTCGGGGTTTCGAGGAGCACGTGAGAGGAAGCATGAGGAGAAAGTTGAGAACACGTGGAAGGCAAGACCTGTGGCAGCAGAGCTGGGTGTTCAGCAGGGCAGGACAGATGAGGAGACTGGAGGGCTGGGAGTGAGAGGGTAGTTGCTACCCACGCTCTGGAATGGAGGTTTGATGGCAGCCAGATAGCTGCAGAGGTACCCAGGCAGGCTACTGAATCTGGCCTGCCAGAAGGGACACAGTTTCCCATGGGAGCAAATAACAGGAGGAACAGATGGAAAGACCGTTAGGGATGAGGAGGTCAGAATGCAGAGGCCAGAGAATGATGGCAAGAACCAGAATGAATTCAAACTGAGCTGTGGACTGGGGTCTCCAACACACAAGTAATGGGCAAGCCCAGAGACAAGAGCTACCATTGGGGAGGACTGACAGCACAAAGCATGAGCCTCAAAGGGAACGGGGTTCCTGGTGGAGGAGAAATGGTTAGAAGCAGGGAAGAGGAAGAACAGGAAGACACCAGCTCCACCTGTGGCACAGAAGCACTTGAGAGGTGATCGATGGCCCTAGGGCCATGAGTGAAGGTCCCGTGGGACAGTGAGGCTCTGGATGAATGTTCAGAATAGGGGTTCTGCAAGCCAGGATGGGTGACTCAAAGGGGCTCCATAAGGAAACAAAACCAACTGCTCCACTCTTACTGCCAACCTCCTGCCTTCTCCTCAAAAGTTCATATGCAAAATCACACTCCCTGAGGTTTTCCAATAGGCCCTGAGGAGGAAGAGGAGGTGTGGCCATGACTGACAGTCCAGGAGACAAGCAAGTGCATGCATACCAACAGGTGGGGTGGATGAGCCTGAGAGGTTCCCTGCAACCAGCCAGTGCCCTACTACAAGCAGCAGAGAGACAGTGAGAAGCAGCAAGACCCTCCCCCACCTCCAGAACTTTAGAATCTCAGGGCAGATGGAAGATCATGTCATGCTGATCCCCTTCTTGTGCACACACATGCCCCCTTCACAATAAGTCTACATATATGGAAGAGAGCATTTAAAAGAAACTTTTGTGGGACAGGGGGTGTAGCTCAGTGGTAGAACGTAAGACCCTGGGTTCAATCTCCAGCACCACCAAAAATAATTAAAAAAAAAAAAAAAAGAACAACATAGAGAAACACTTCACTCCAGGTATGGAGATCCTCACCCAGACTCCATACTTCTAAGCCTCCACACTCCAGGTGGTGACAACCTCAAACACGCTGCTTGCATGTGTTTCAGTAGACAGGGGTCAGCTTAGCTCACAGTCTCTTGAGTCTAGGGACCTTTTCCACCTGGAACAAAGTCTGCTGTTTCCCTAGAAAATGGAGTGACCACTAAAATGACTGGGCACTGACCAGCTTCCCTAATGGGAAGCATGGGAACGAAGAAAAGGGGTGAGACACACTGCAGCAGTGGAAGCCAGCTGCCTCCACATCAGAGCATTACACACAAATGTCACCCCAAACCCCCACCTCTCTGCACCCTGGACACTCGTGTAGAAAATGCTGCCATAAAGACATCAAACTTCCACCATCTGCACCCTCAAGAGGGGCCAGGAACCCCCACTGCTTCCTTGGTCTCAGTGAGGTGGCTACCAATACACCAAGAGCTCTCCCCTAAGGAGGACAGGTGAGGGTGTTTCCAAGGGCAGAGAAGAGGCCCTGCAGAACTGCAGCACAGCGAGGTTGGCTGACACCGGTTCACCTCTCATGCAGAACAGACTGAATTACTTACTTGAAATTCATTTTCTTTCTGAGCTTGTTCGGATCCCTCTTTATTACAGGACCTCTATGAATGAGAAAAAGCAAACACTTCCGGTGAGATGGAGAACACTGAGCAGACACTACTCTGCAACCACCAGAACAGTAGGGCTTACGAACACCACAGATCTTTTACTAGGGCTTCTCAGCCTGCCGTGGGACCTGCGTAGTCTACAGGCACCAGCAGCCTCCAGCACTAGTACCAATGCCTTGGAAAGTGCTTTAGCTATTTACAAGAAAAGGGATGTGCCACTGAGACCAAAGAACTGTGCATCTCATGGCCGTCCTGCGGACCTTTCACAATTTCATTGTTAGAGGAAAGTCACTAGATAGTACTCTTCCAATTGAGCCTTCTAAAGAAAAGTGCAGGCCAAGGCTCTCGCCAATTTAGTTATGGGGTTCTTTCAAGCCAACCGCAAGGACTGGGGTATCAATCCACCCACGGATGGCTGTGGTTAGCACAGAGCATGGACAGAGAAGAAAGCACTGTGCAGGCAGGACACCTGGCACTCCCCCAGTCTAACCCTGCTGGTGCAGCTGGTCACAGCTCCAGCAAAAAGAGGACAGGGTAAAGTTAACAAAGTCCCTAAAGTTATCTTATATACTAATATATTAAGGTTACTTTTACATTACTTTCCTCAATGAAATTGCAAATTATTGGCAATATTAACAACATACTAGATCACCAACTTCCATAAGCAGCTCTGAGGCTACATTCTTTCTTCACGGCACAAAGCATGTATCTTCAAAGCAAGCCCCCCACCCCAAGCGCTTTAAACCCTCATAGAACCTTAAATGAGGGACTGGGGGAAAGTAAAGTAAGAAACTTAAGGGTAATGTCAAAATTTCATTCTCTATTGCCTCTAAAATTATGTTATATTTAAAGTCTGCGTGTAAGCCAGACAAGAGGAGTCCTATAAAGGAAACCTCTTTAAAATAAGAGGTTGGTAATTTAGGGTAACAGATCTTGAACATCCCGTGAAAACATACCTTTCCATTCCACAGCTTTATCAAAAACACCTGTACCAAGGGTGGAAAGTGTGGACAGGAAAAAAATGCCACGTTAAGCAACACCAGCTACTCTAGCAGCATTCAAAATCCTTGTGACTTACAGCAACCACTCTCTCCCATCCTACACGGAATAGCATTCCACAGACATCTTAATGCTTGTTATGTACAAACAGTACATGTTTATCTTACTCAGTATAAAAGTAAACAAACATCCATGTTCATAAAGCTATCTGCTAAAGGCTTTCTAATGCTTGCACTTATACATATTCACTAACATCTGGAACATACGCTTAAAGTACATTTGGTACAAAGTACAGAAAGTACAATGAAGATATATGATGTTTTCATTTGTGTAATCTGCATTTCTCTGATGGAAAGATGCGACAGGTTAAATCCCGTTACAGTGAACACCGTAAAAATCAAAATATTACAAAAATGCCATTATCCATCTGCTGAGGGGGGTCAATGGATGACGAGATACACTGAGGAGGAGCCACTGGCTATCATGAAGCTCTACTCCCTCCTTTAACTGCAGGGTTGCTCCCTCAGCTGCACTGTTCCCTTAGACGTACACCTCCGTGATCTCTCCTGGGTGGCCTGTAAGTTCTTGAAGAACAGGGACTTCACCTTTGATTGTCTACCCTGAAAGTACCAAGCAAATTCTGATGCTTGCTACGCTCTGATCTAAGTGAATCAAGGAACACTCTGGCACCGGCACCATGAAACACAAGGCAAACAGCTCCAAGGAGCAAACCAGCACCATGCAAGTTCACATCCACATTCCCAGTAGTGGGGAAACTAGACACAGTGTTAATTAGAAGACTGAATGGGCTGAAATGCCCTTAAAAAGTCCTCATGCTTTTTTCTCCAAGGAAAGCTAAGAACAGAGTTATCTGGATTGGGGTTTAAATCCAGAGCCCCGCACATGCTAGGCCAGTGCTCTCCCCCTGAGCTATATCCTTTTGTGTGTTCTGCAAGGGATCAAACCCAGCCTTGCTCATACCCCAAGCCTAAATTCTATAATCAGACATATTACATACTAATGCTTTGTATGAAAAGCTTAAGACAAATAAGGAATTTGGATATATTACTAAATTTTGTTGTAACATTTGGATATATTACTAAATTTTGTTGTAACGGGATTTGACCTGCACAAAATTCTAAACAACTATGGTTATTCCTATGCTGTTATTGCTCTAACTGTATCTTCTTAGGGAGATACAGTTAATGGATTATTTAGCTAACAGAAGTCCTTTTCCCTGTTAAATGGTGCTCTCAAAAGCAAGTCGCCTCATCCCAGGTTACAAACCCTGGCTAACAATCCGTTACAAAGTTCCAAGACCACTCCTTTTTAACATGTTATCACCAGAAGTGGAGGTAAATTTCATTCATTTTTTTCCCCACCCCCAGAAGTCCCATCCCACCCCAATGGCTGCATGACTTATTCAGTAATAAGAGCACCATCGCAAAGGCAAGATGGACTTCTGCAGTATCAACCCCGGGTTCTGTTTCCTCAGTACAGAATGCACAGATGCCCTTCGGCTATAACCAAGAAGAGCAGGCCCAAGAAACCTCAAACCAGGGAAACAACTGTGGAGAGGTGAGCGGAAGCCTGCTCCTAGATGAGCCAGGCACAGACCCACTCACTTGGCCAAAAGAAAGGTCAGAGGAAGATGGGAAGAAATATATATTTTGGGACTTGTGGAATTTTACCTCAGTGGTAAAAATTTATTTGATAGTAAGATATATTTTATGAATACTTAGTATGACTTTAAACTCTCCTAACCTGCAAATTAATAAAAATTTTATTTTATAAATTAGAATACTAAAATGTTTTACACTTATTAGAATTTAGACATTGGTTTTTTAACATTAAATAATGCTGTGTGGTTGTGTGTGTGTGTGTGTGTGTGTGTGTGTGTGTGTGTGTGTGTTCTGCAAGGGATCAAACCCAGCCTTGCTCATGCTAAACTCTCTAACCACTGAGCCAACACCCCAGTCCTAATTTTTTTATGTGAACATCATATAAGTCATTTTTTAAAAATGATCTTACATAGATATAGACTGAAATATTTACAGAAGAAACAATTTAATGCTGGCACCTGCTTCAAAATAACCCTGGGGAAATAGATGAAAAGATGCAAGAAGGCTGTCCTCCAGGAGAAATGGATAATGGGCACCTGGGGCTTATCACTCTTCTGCCTCCTTCTGTACTGATCTGAAATTACTCAGAATAAAGCACTTTTTTGAAAATAAACAGAAATTTCAAGACTTAAGAAATTAAAACATCTTGGGCTGGGGTTGTGGCTCAGCGATAGAGCACTTGCCTAGCATGTGCGCGCCCTGGGTTCAATCCTCAGCACCACATAAATAAAGGTATTGTGTCCAACTACAACTAAAAAATAAATATTAAAAAAAAATAAATTAAAACATCTTGAAAATACATTTAAAAATACCCAATTTTATCAATATACTGAGAACTTCTGAATTATAAACCTGAAATAGGTGAATTGTCACATAAATTAAAAAAAAAAGACAAAGCTATCCTGTCACTGGCTTTCTCGTTTCTTCTTCTTCTTCTTCTTCTTCTTTTTTTTTTTCCTTTATAAACCACAGAAATTTATTTCTCAGAGTTCTGGAGGCTGAGAAATCCAAGATCTTTAGGCACCAGCAGAAATAAAATCATTTCTTATTTTTCTTTCTTTTTTCTCACAATGCCAGATTAAATCCAGGAATGCTCTACCATTGAATTACACCCCATCCTTTTTAATTTTTTGAGACAGGGTCTCACTAAGTTTCCAAGGCTGCCCTCAAACTTGGAATGCTCCTGTCTTAGTCTCTCAGACAGCTGGGATTACAGGCATACACCATTGCAACTAGCTGCCTAAGTTCTTAATAAAAGATTCCTCTATTAATAATAAAGAGGGTTTATGACTATTATAAAACCCCATTTGTGAGATTAAACAAAGTAGCACATCAATTTTCCTTAGATGTGGGTGTGTGAATATAAATAAATCAGCAAGAGCAGCACGTAATTATTTGAGCCATTTTTAAAGTGACTTTAGAGATCCACTACTGCATGAGCTGCTCCTGGGACAGGCTGGGAAAAATGGTAACTCAGACCCAAAGAATGACACATCAACCACCAGCACAATAAACTGGGAATGCTATTTAAGACATCAAATCACTGCCAATTACAGGCAATGTCATAATAAGGAAATAACCACTATGTCACACACGATGGTAGATGCAGGAGTGAAGTGAGGAGGCATGACCACACAACACTCACCTAGGACCTGCTCTTGTCTCCATCACCCTTTCCCCACCACATGAGGGCTACATGGATCATTTAGTTAGGAGCTCTTTTAGAGACTCTCCATACAACATAAATTGTGGGGTTTTCATAAATGCTGTGAGACCCATGGAAGGATGACTGAATAATTCAACTGCTGGCCCAATTCAACTTCTAGAGCATGTGAAGGTTGGCTGGGAAAACGATCCACTCTCCACTAACCCAGGACCATCCTCCTGAGCTGAGGCCTCAACAACTCCCAGGCTATCAATCCTCCAAGAGTGATGGAAGCTGCATTCTGAATGCCAGGCACTGTGACCTGTGGTCCTGAAAGCACTGGGATCCATTAGTTTGAAGGCTTCTAATAGCCACCCGCTTATTCAATCACACTCTACTCTCTAGAAGAGAAGGCTCTGTCATAAACCCTGGCCTTGGGTTTGTGGCTGGGGTTGTGGCTCAGTGGTAGAGCACTTGTCTAGCATGTGTGAGGCACTGGGTTCAATCCTCTGTACCACATACAAAATAAAATAAAATAAAAAATAGTATGGTGTCCATCTACAACTAACAAATAAATTTAAAAATTTTTTAAAAATTAATAAACAAACCCTGGCCTAATTCCTGCTGTTGATGCAGATCTGGTCCACCTCAGGTGAGGAGGGGCAAGGAGTGCACACGATGGGATCCACTCTTCCCACTAATGTTATGCAGAATGTTATCATGGCCTTGGCTTTCCTTCTCCCAACTGTTAAAAAAAAAAAAAAAAGACAAGAAGGAGAGAAAACATCCTATACTTACTGATTTTATAATTTCTTACAGTATTCTTTGAAAATATTTTACTGAACATTAAAATGTGAGATCCACACATAATGATTTAAAATGGAGCTTATGCTGGGGGTGGCTCAGTGGTAGAGTGCTTCCCCAGCATGCCTGAGACCCTGGGTTCGATCCCCAGCACCACAAAAAAAAAAAAAAAAAAAAAAAAACAGTGAACTAAAATGGAGCTTATGTGATTCATTCATGAGCACGTATGAATCACAAGTATGTAAATAGAAAAGTGACTTCTAATATTTGATGGTAGTCTCTACAGAATCTCCCACACTTCCAAGGAATATTCTATGAGTTGATCTTTTGGAACATTAACAACTTCAAACTGGAAGATCTGATGAATATGGATAAGAAACCAGAATCTCAAAAAGGCTCCAGGCCACATAAGGCAGCAGCTGGTGAGCGAAAGCCTGGTCAAGAAGGCCACTACAGGACCTTCTCGGAATCATGCCTGATGCAGGCAACCTGCTGACCCAAACCTGCTGGGACTTCCACGTAGGCATCCAAGGGCTGACCTGCAGACAACCCTTTTCCAGGAAGTGAGCTGTGACCTCTCTGGCCTGGTATCTTCCATGTGGGGTCAGGTCAACACTGCTAAGCTTCATGAAGAAAATGGGCATCCAGCTCGGATAAGACCACAAAAAGCACACTAACTGATAAGGAAAAAGGAAAGAAAGTTTGCTAACTCTCACCAAAAGAACTACTACACTACTACTAGATACACTGCAGTGTATGTGCATGCACGCGCATGTGTCTATATGTGTGTGTGTGTGTATGTCTGTGTGTGTCTTTGTGTGTGTCTCTGTGTGGGTGTCTGTATGTGTGTGTGTCTCTGCGTGTTCCCACAATGCTGAAAGATGTGAAGGAAGAACCGAAGTACCTCAATTAAATTCTCAAGTTCAGGTCCAGTAATGTCTAGAATTACTCAATGTCTGCCATTTTCTACTGAGGAAACAGAAGAAAGGGATCTGATTTGCCTTGGACAAAAAAATAAAATTAAAAAGTGATATATCAATATATAACATTCTGAAATCTTTATCACTGTACCTCTTTAAGCACAGCACAAACTGTAGCTGGTGCTACTTAACAAGCATTATAATTTTCTCTTTAAAAAGCATTTCTTGAATCCAAGAACTAAAAGAAAGAAATTAAAGCTGTAGAGAATGCTCCAACTTCAGAGGTCTCATACTATACCGTGAATCGTGTCTGTCACCTGGAAACCAGAGTGCTCCAGGCACGATCGCATGGACAAGCCTGCAGCAGAGAACACATGCACATACAGCTAAAGTGGTACATTACCCCAGCGCCCTTCACTCCACCCAACACAGACATTCCTTCCCACAGAGGGGTAGGCCGCGGGCAAGCCATCGTTCCGGGGACCAGAAATCTGCATTGGTTTCATGCTATAAATCCCAAACATTTAAGACCAGCAAGACAAGGACACTTTGAATATGTCAAAACTAAACATAGTCTGTGGTTTATTAAGTTATCAAAAGAAGGCACCAAAGCAGGTATAGAAGGACCACAGGTGTAACTGGCAACTACCTCTGGAGAGTATTAACTAAGAAACACTAGGTGGGTCAAAGGGGTGTGTACAATGCAAACAAAAGTCTTACTCTGAGGGAAGTTTTGACTACCTTAGAAATAGATACAATTACACCAAACTCAGAGTTCAGGGGGTTTTAAAAAAAGCAGAGTAAACAAAAGAACTTGAAATCATAAATGATGGCAACATGACAAGGGGAAAAGTCAGCTCCCATCCAGGAGCTTCAGCGGTCATGTCTGCAGGGCAAGTGGCTTCAGCTCCACACAGGAGTATTTTTAAGCAGTTTATTTCTCAGTAGCCAGTAACTATCTACAAGCTGGTCCATATTTTATTGGGTTGAATTAAATGAGTTCAGAGAAAATAGGGAAGAGGATATTTTGTTTTCTGGACTCCAAAAGAACAGTCTCACAAATTTCACTCTTTAGAATCACTAATACATATCTGCGTTGTGCCTTGGTGCCTTTAATTGCATTATGGTTAGTATTCAAACAAGCACTAATATTAGCCTTCTATTACTCAAAAAACAAACAAAAACATTTTTTCCAGACAACACTTAAGAGAGATCTTTGATGTGCATTATTAACATTCATGCCTCTGAGACCATTCTTAATGGTGAGGCCAATCTCTCAGTTCATGCACAGAAGGACCTGGCTTAACACAGAGTCACTGTTCTGACAGAGGAAGGGACAAGGCACTCCTCTGAGACTTCCGCCAACTGGCACAAGTTACAATGAATGAACAATACGT